TCCCAGCTACTCGGGAGGCTGAAGCAGGAGATCCCCTTGAACCTGGAAGGCAGAGGTTGCAGTGAGCCGAGATCACGCCACAGGATTCCAGCCTGGGTGGCAGAGCGAGACTCCATCTCAAAAACAAAACAAAACAAAACATTAGGAGGGTGGACAAGGCCAGCTCTCAGGGATTGGTCCTCAGCCCTGTCCCCACCTCAGGCCTGGGCTTGGGTTGTTTCCAGCCTGAGCCTCCTCCTCACTCATAGTCCTTTGGGTTCTGGTGGACTGGCCTTTGTTTCCTTTCCTGTCAACCAAACCCCTCTCTGTCTGCAGGAATCCTCTCCAGGCCCACAGGCCTCCAGCTGCCCCTGCCCCTCTGTGTTTGTAGCACTGCAGAGCCGGCTCTGATGTGGAGGACGGCAGCTGCACAGCTCCTACAAGAGGCTTGTTTCCCACTCTTGCTTGTTGATAAGTACTGTGCACGTCTTTTAACCAGAAGTTCTGCTGATTTGTCATGACCCTTGAAGAGGGTCACAAATGGGCCAGGTGGGAACGTAAAAGGTGAACTGGGTCCACAGTCATGTGGCCAAGGGCATGATCCACAGACTTTAGCTTACTGGTCACCTTCCCCAATGCTGCTCCTGTCCCCATTTGTTATTTATCCTTGCTGTTTTGTTTTTTGCAGCCCTTATGTCAATTTGTTTTTTGGGTTTTATTTTTTTGAGACAGGTTTTCACTCTGTTGCCCTGGCTGGCGTGCGGTGGTGCAATCACAGCTCACCACAGCCTTGACCTCCTGGGCTCAAGTGATCCTCCCACCACAGCTTCCTGAGTAGCTAAGAGTACAGGCACATGCCACCATGCCTGCCACCATTTCTTCTATGTTTTTTGTTTTTGAGACAGAGTCTGCCTCTGTCGCCCAGGCTGGATAGAGTGCAGTGGTAGTCTCAGCTCACCACAACCTCCACCTCCTGGGTTCAACTGATTCTCCTGCCTCAGCCTCCCGAGTAGCTGAGACTACTGGCACATGCCACCACGCCCAGCTAATTTTTGTATTTTTTGGTAGAGACAGGGTTTCTCCACGTTGACCAAGTTGGTTTTGAACTCCTGACCTCAAGTGATCCACCTGCCTTGGCCTCCCAAAGTGCTGGGATTACAGGCATGAGCCACCACGCCTGGCCCTAGTTTTGTTTGTATTTCTTTTTTTTTTTTTTGAAACGGAGTCTCGCTCTGTCGCCCAGGCCATCTGGGCTCACTGCAACCTCCGCCTCCTGGGTTCACGCAATTCTCCTGCCTCAGCATCCCGAGTAGCTGGGACTACAGGCGCCCGCCACCATGCCTGAGATGGGGTTTCACCATGTTAGCCAGGATGGTCTTGATCTCCTGGCCTCGTGATCCACCTGCCTCCGCCTCCCAAAGTGCTGGGATTACAGGTGTGAGCCACTGCGCCCGGCCTGTATTTCTTTTTTTTTTAGTAGAGATGGGGTCTTGCTATGTTACCCAGGCTCGTCTCAAACTCCTGAACTAAAACGTTCCTCCACCTCGGCCTCCCAAAGTGCCAGGATTACAGGCATGGATTCATAACTATTTATTGTGCGTTTCTATCAGGCTCTCCCACTAAATAGAAGCTCCTCAAGGCAGGTAGCATACCTTTTTTTGCTACATTGTATTTAGGGCCCAGCATACTGGTAAATTGTCAAAGAAACGCTTCAGTCAGTGGATAGAATGAACTTTTGTGCCTGGAGTACCAGAGCCAGGGTGGGGAAGTAAAAAAATAAAAATCATGATGGTAGTCACACAAATCCAAATGTGTTGAAATTCACAGAACTGCTGGGCTTGGTGGTTGACACCTGTACTGTAATCCCAGCTACTCAGGAGGTTGAGGTGGAAGGACCACTTAAGCCTCGGAGGTGAAGGCTGC